ATTGTAGACAAACTGGCGGACTTGATGCAGCTTTTGCTTGGCTTCCCCAATGCGGTAATGCAAGGACTGCAGCTCGAAGTGATTGTAGGAGATCATAACCCCCAGATACTTGCTACAGGAGACCCACTGGAAGGCGGGGAAAGATTTGTTGGGCCCTATGCGCCATCCGCGAACCTGCTCGCCCTTTGAGTTGGTGATCCAGCAGCCATGTTTGTTCAACACGTTTTGGGATTCTCTTCCCGCTAACTTCACTAAGATGACGCACTTGCTAATGTTGACGCGAAGGCGATGTTTGCGGACCTCTTCAAGTAGCGCTGCGATGAGAGCATGAATGGCCCTGAGGTCCTTGTCAGAGCGGATAGTCCGATGGAGCGTGAGATCATCGGCATAGCCAGTCAGGAACTTCAAGACCTGCTCAGCACCGAAAAGGTCGACCAGAGAGCGGAAAAGGTCACCTGTAAGGAACGAGAAGAGTGTGGGGGCGAGCTTACATCCTTGTTTAATGCCTGCTGTGGTTTCAACAGAGGTGGAATCTCCCTGCGCGTGAAGAACGTAACGAGACCCGTCATGTAGAGCCTGAACAAGGTGGACTGTGTCCTGATCGGCCCCTTCTCTCTGAAGAAGGTCGATGATCTCTTGGCGAGAGACTGTGTCAAACGCTTGGCTGAGGTCAAGAGCAAAGGTGAGGCCGCCGACTAAGGCTGGGGCCTGTGTGCCTTGTTGCAAGGCATGTCTCGTGGGGTGGGCCTGTTCTAACAGGGATCGTGCCTCACGCAAGTGATGCACCACGCGTTCTAGTGCGTCTGACAGCCCCCGACCTGGTAGATAAGCGAACTGTGGCATGTGCTTGAGGAACGAGAGGGTCAGTGGTTGAAGCGCTTCTCTGGCCGCTCCCGCCAGTCCCTTAGCGTCAGGTCGAAGGATACCCAAGGGTCTCAAGTTTGCTGGTTTATCAGAGGGCTTGCCCGGCTTGGGTATTAAACAGAGATCTGCGTCTACTAGGTCGGATTCTAGACTGTCCTCGGCCTGCTTGGATGCTACGTGTTCGGAGAGGACCGGTGCAACGAGATCGCTACACAGCCTCCATACAGCCGCTGGTGCCGCTCCGTCAGGAACAGCTTTGTTCGGCTTGATGGAATGTATGTGAGCTGCTAGTTTGGGTGGCTCCAAAGCAGGGAAAGCACCATGCATAGTCCGTAACGGAGGGTGGGCCGCAAATACCTGATTGGCATAATCCCTGAGGGCTGCTAGTTCCTGCGCTGGGCCTAGGAGATGTCCTGTGTTGTCCTTTAGCTGAGCTCTGCGCGCGGGCTGCCAAGGCTGCAGCTTTTTGAGGGTCTGGAAGGAGATATGTTGATCACCTTCAGCTAGACTCGCATCTACCTCCGATATGAAACTTGCAATTCGATCTTTCTTTGCTTGTTTCACAGCTTGGCGATGTGCCACTTGTGCCAGCTCAGCTTCTGTTTCCGGCGGACGTGGCGTGTTCCGATTAGGAGGCTGTGCCATTGCTTTAGGTGACTCGATCAGCTGTGCTGAGGGAGTATTCGCAGCCCTGTCATGGGTGCGGGCCCGCCACATGCGACGGGTTTCCGATTCCAGCAGAATCGGTATTCTTTTGGGAATTTTTGGGAAAAAGCGTTCTGCACCTTCCAAAAGCAACGCATTCCATGCCTTGGGGTCCTGGCAGGTGTCAATTCTGGAAGCTATCCAGCTGTGCAGTGCCTTTGCCGTCTCGTCTTCCTCTCTGACCGAGGCCTGTAAAGCTAGTGAATCGTAACGGCGCGTGCTGGGTTTGTGGGATGGGAGCAGCCAGTGATGCTGGAGGGGTACGTCAGCTTTAAGCGGGTAATGCCCCCCTTTCTTCCAGCTTCCCAACGGGCAGTCCACCCAGGGGGCTGACCTTTTTGCTTTGCCTCCCGCCGTAGATTCTTTGGTGAGAATGAAGTCAATTTGCGACTCCACTCCTCCTTGTGAGAAGGTAGCTATATGGTCACATTGCCAGGTGTTGAGGGCAACCAAACGCAACCTGAGCAGCAGGTTAAACAAGTTGGATTCATCAGGGCGGTCCTCAGTAGGTGGCTTCACGTGCGGTCCCACCAATGGAGAGCTCGGACGCAAGGAAGTGTTAAAATCACCTGCTACAATAAGGGAGTCCCTCTTAGGCACCTGCTTGATCACCTTGGACATGACAGATAGCACCTTAGCACGGTCGTCCTTATTGGACTGGATGGTCTTGGCAGAAGACCAAGCGTGTTGGTACACCGCGACAACAACCAGCCGAGTACCTGCAATGTCCGCGCGAGCTTCTAAGACTCTACCCGGGCTCCACTCCTTCCAGCGTAAGCTCTTGGGGACGAACTTGGGAGAGAATAGGATCATGACTCCATCAGCGCGAGTCGTGGATGGGGCTCGCGGTTCTTGCCGAGTGTTTCGCTTTGCTGCTTGTTTAGGCCGGGTGTTGGGTTTGGTAGACTCCGAGGCTGAGGAGATACAGTACCACCCAGAAACGCTGAATTCGCTGGTCTCAGTCCAGTGCGTTTCCTGCAATATGAGGATGTCGCAGTGATGAGAGGCTTCAGCTGCTAGCCATGTTTTGAGTTCGCCCCATTGCTGTTGGCCTAGGTGGCCCGCGTTCCACGAAAGAACTCGAATGGATCTTTCCAACCTTCCTGCCCTGCGGGAGGCTGTGCCATATGCAGGGGAGTCAGCAGTCTGTGACTGAAGCTCTCTTCGAGTGGGTGGGGGGCGCACCCCCAGACGATCAACCAGGGTAGGTGTCAGAACCTGCCCTCGGTATGGTACGGGCCCGTCACTACGGACTGTCCTTCTACATGCTGTCTTGAACGAATTCTTACGAAGAGATGCAAAGTTTTGTGAGTGCACTGGCAATTGCGCCATCCGCTACTTTCGTCAAGAGACAGAAGCCTAATGACTCCCTCCACCGCGCGGAGGTGGAAACCCTACCGCCTACCCAGTGTTGCAATGTTTTAAACAGAGTCTGGGCCCAGGAATTGGGACCTGGCGGCTCAAAGCAGCTCCTGTGAGAAAAGGGAGAGGACCATGGCGTAGAAGGAGGCACAAACCTTTACTGTTCAGAAAAGGGCCCGGTGGGAACCTCTAGTACAGCAGTTGCGCCCCAAGCCTGTTCGAAGCCTCTCATTCAGCGCGGCCGCTTGAGCACTTGTGGCGGCTACTACTACTACTACTACTACTACTACTACTACTGCTACTACTACTACTACTACTACTGCTACTACTACTACTACTACTACTACTATATACTACTACTACTACTACTACTACTACTACTACTACTACTACTACTACTACTACTACTACTACTACTACTACTACTACTACTACTGCTACTGCTTCTACTACACTACGACCACCACCGCTGAGGAAGTATAGAAGTAACAGTGTCCCAGTCCAATTTAAACCTGTCCAAGGATCGATGGCTCCGGTGCGCAAGGGAAGCAACTGATCCCGGTCGGCTGGGGGGCCTGCGACAGGGGCTCTGGCATTTGTAGAGGTCAGGGGCTTGGCAGGTTTAGGGTTTAGGGTTTGGTGCATAGGGGTTTTATGGTTTTCGGGGTCTAAGCTTTAAGACTTAGGGCTCGTGTGTGATTTTGGGCTTGGCTTTCAGTTCTATCTGCTGTGAGGTTTCAGATTTTCGAGGCTAAGGTTGCCATTCAATTCGTTGGCTTCGTCCCTACAAACCCTAAGCCCAAAGTCAAGCAGAAGGCACCCTGACAGTAGACTTCACAGTTTCCGGCCCATGTAGGAACCCTATCAATTAGAATGGAGTCTTGTGTTTAGGGTCTAGGGTTTGTTTAGAGTGTAGGGTATGTTTAGGGTTTAGGGTCTAGGGCATTTAGGGGAACTCTGACGAAAAGTAGAAAATACTGTAGAGTCTCGAGATTTGTTTCATAGCCCTGAGGGTCCAATTAGAGTACTACTATGGAATTGGGTTTCAGGATGACTCAAGTGCCCTTAGAACCATCAGTAACATGTGTACTTAAAATAGCCCTCATGGTTGTACTAAGATGAGAAGATAAGTAACTCTTGAGAACGTTGGGGTAGAAGAAAGCAGCAAATAGTTCTTACGAACACTTCTGCCATTAAGCTATACCTATAGACTAAGACCTGGGAATGTATCATAAGGTTACATCAAATTTGCTAATTAGTTGCATGTCGTGCCTTCGTTTTCGCCTACTTGTCCAGTAGAGAGCTTAAGGTTAACCATTGGGAGTATATCGGGATGATATAGGGTTTAAAGTACCCCCACAAGGTTCAAGGTTACCTACGCTACAGTACTACTGAGGATACTGAAGGGGCGCTTGGCCAACATCTGTGCTCTTCGCTCCCAATCTGGTTAGGAAGGTTTTAAGCCTAAGGGGTTTAGCGATTGTGAGGCGTAAGGGTTTAGGGTTTAGGGTTGAAGAGTTTACGCTTAAGGGGTTGAAGGTTTATAAGGTGTAACGGTTTACGGTTTAAAGGGTACAGGGGTTTCTGGGGCTTACGCATGGTTTAGGAGGGTCTGGGAGGGTTTAGGGTATAATTGCTGCCCTCTATACTAATTAACCCAGACGTCCGGAATCTTAAACACACTTTCCGCGAGCTCGGGTTGCTTGGACCCTCTTATAGTCTCCATCGTAGTTCCTTTTTTGGTTACCCCAAACAATATATATATATATATATATGTATAGTGTATATATACACATGTATATTCTGGGTCCTACCCTTTAAATTGGCTAACCCCAAAAAAAGAACTACACTGGAGACTGTAGGTATGCCCATCTGTAGACACACATAATGGAGGGAGTGAGAGTGCCCACTCGCTCTAGATACTATTCAAACGTTGAATCCCTCTCGCGGGTTTGTTAAGTTTGTGCACTATCCCCAAAGCCCTTTAAAGATATGGGGTGTATTAATCACCGGGCTGTATTACCCTGCAACCTCAACTCCACCCCAATGCCCAAACCTTCATCGCGAGCCTGAAGCAGCTCGATACTTTGCTGCTGCAGCAGCTGAAAGGCTTTCACCAGTCCTTCGGTTGATGATATAAATCCTGCATTACCTTAAGGACCCTAAACTATGGGAATTATGGTATATTCCTTATTATGGGCAATGCTGGATTTATATCATCAACCGTTTCGCTGCAGTGTGTTCTGGCTACTGGGGGCCTCTGCATTTACGGGTATCAGATTATCAGGTCCTATCTCAGCCAAACCGTAATTGACCCCTAAACCCCCCAACCCTAAGTAGAAGTTTCCACAAATTAGGGTTACCTTATTTTGGGGTCCTGATAATAAGGATCCTACTACTTAGGGTGCTATACCTATCTTCGGAAACCCCCAAAATCCAAAACACCATTCCGTAATTAACCCCTAAACCCTAAACCCCCAAACCCTATACCCTAGCCCCTAAACCCCCCAACCCTGAATCCAAAATACCATTGGCCATGCCACCGGCGATGTGCCCTTCGAAGAGGTCGCTCGCGTCGCGCATCAGCTGTCGAGCTCTTTCATCTCCAACACCTTAACGGGCTCCTTTAAAGGGGTCTATAGGGGTTCTATAAGGGGGTTTTGGGAGTTTAGGGTTGCCGGTATAGGGCTTATGGGGGTTTAGGGTTTAAAGTTTAAGGTTTAGGGTATTCAAAGGGGAAAAAGGAGGGAGCCTCAATGGGGACCCCTACCCTATAACGGACCACGTCATGGGTATATAACAGCTATATTAAGGGATCTCCAACACCTTAGGGTTTGGCCGGCTTCAGGGTTGAGGGTTTGGGATCTATAAGGGTTGCTTTAAGGGATATATAGGATTATAGGGTTTAGGGTTGGGGATTTAGGATTTGGGGTTTAGGGGATTCAGGGTTTAGGGCTTTGGGTTTGGGGCTGAGGGGCTTCGGGGTGCAGGGCGTTGGGAGTTTAGTGATTTACCGCTTAGGGTTTAGGGCTTAGTTGGGGGCTTAGGCTTCTGAGATCTGGACTGGTGGAGTAGCTTATGCGCTGACGATCTCAGGATTCATGCTGCCAACTAAAGCTTATGATAGGAAGAGCATGCAATGTAGCTACAAACTTGACAACGCAAACAACTCCTCCTACTTCTCCGCCTGCTCATCCACCAACGCATCGCGAATCTATCCTTCCGCCCTCATTTTTTGTCGCCGTCTTGTCATACGTAACATCGTTCCAAGCCTTGTAGCTCACCAGCATTGAAGCATGGCCTTGCTATTCTGATTTCATTCTAATATGATTATATTACTACTATAACGCCATAATACTACAATACTATAAATACTATAATACTAGATCAACCTCTTGGAGTCTGGCAAACAGCAGAGGCAAAGACAAAAACTCAAATTATGTAGAGCAGTGGTAGTATAAGCTGCCAACTACGAACGAAGACACGTATCTGGAACTCATCATGAGTGCTAAACCCTGTTCTTCCATACACATCTACCCCAAACACCCCCAAACCCTGAACCCTGAACCGTAAACCCTGAACCCTAAACCTATTGCGCAGACGCGAAACCGAAACAGACCATGGCAAGTCAGGGTCAAAAAGCACTAAACTTGTCAAAAGCATTTGAAGCTCAGGGTTCATCAGGATTAGGGTTTATAGCGCTCAGGGTTTAGGGCTTGAGGATTAGGGGCTCTAGGGTAGGGCTTAAGGCTTGAGGATTAGAAGCTTTAGGGTAAAGGGCTTCAGGTTTAGGTCTTGGTACAAAGGCAGCATATCTTTCGGGGGCAAAAATGTGTACTAGGTTGTGTACTTCCATGCTTCGGGCTCTTGGTGCTCGCCCTAAGGCTCATATCAGCCCAAAAGCCTTATGCAGCATGGTCTTTGCGCCCCAAAAGCCACAGAATATGGGTAGTTCTCTAGAGCAGGGTCCTTTTCTAGGTCGCCAAAATAGTACAGCACCCTTGTAAAGAGGACCTTGCAAGGGACCCTGATTTAGAGAACTACCAATAATATGCCTATATATTGTCCTAACCCCCTGGGTCCAAGTACCCAGTAATCATATACTCTCCAAATAGTAACCTACATAACTACTATCCTAAACCCAAGTACCTTATTATTGAGTCCTTTGGACCCTTGGGGTTACTTAAGCCTTAAAGGGGTTCCTATATATACAGACACTTACAGTAGAAGCCAGAAAGTTGGAACATGATTATCCTTATGCCCCTAGTATAAAAGTAGAAGGGATCCAAGCAGTAATTATCCTAAATCATCCTAAATCCATGTTCCAACTTTCTGGCGTCCACTGTAAAGTCCTCAGTACATACAATTTAGTTACATGGAGCCTTCCCAGAGCCTCCAAAACCCCTTATTTAAGGAATATACCTTAAACTATATTAGGGATCTTATTATGATTTAAGGTATATTCCTTGATTAAGGGGTTTTGGAGGCTCTGGGTTTAGGTCTCAGAGCCGAATCCAAGACCCAAATCCGGGGTAGCTCCGGCTTCTACTTAAAGGATCATGGGACTTAATAAGTAAGGTTCCTTAAAGGGTTCCTTAGAGGGTCTTACTATAAGGATTCTATAAGGGTTTGGGGCGTACTTACGTAGAGGATCATGGGACTTAGTAAGCAAGGTTGTAAGTACCTTAATTGGGGTTATATGTATAGTTACCTTACTTATAACCCTAGTTACTAAGTCCCATGTTCCTCGAAGTAGGGGCTGGTTTAGGGCTTACCTAAAGTCTCCATTGTAGTTCCCTTTTGGGGTTACCTTATAGGATCCTAATCATATCACTGGTTAAACCAAAAAAGGAACTACAATGGAGACTATAGGTAGGGTCTACATAAGCTTCACATGGCTTTAAGGTCCTCTCCGCAAGAACAACCTAGCGCTTATGCACTGTAAAGGCGGTCCTTAAAGTTTAAACTCCCTATCTGAGATCAGTTGGAGGATCGTGGGACGCAAGTAAGGTTAAGAGATATAAATACCTCAATTGGGGGTTATAAATAGTTATAAGCAAAGTTACTTTACTTCTAACCCTAGTTACTAGTTTCTAGTTACCATGATCCTCTAGGCAGAGATAAGAGAATGCAGCTTGTAATTGAGTTGGAAGCCTCAAAAGGTGGGATGAAGATACGTAGGAGTAAGGATGCCATACAAATCAGGACACTTATTTGGGGTTGCTCCACCTACCTTCATCCCACCTTTTGAGGCCCCTGATTCAATGCAACCTGAACCGCAAGCCGCAAACCTCTCTAGGATACCCAGTAACCTAAGAATAAAAAGGCCTCTCTTTTTGGTATTGGGTAACTTTATAAGGAACCTAGGACTACAAGAAGGGAATAAGGGTACTACTGGGCATCCTAGCTGTGCAGCCACGCCACCATTGTGAGACATGCCGTTGCGCGGCACGTCGTCGTCCACGTTGTTCAGGGCCCACACGGAGCCGTTCGTGCTGTCCTGACTGCCAAAAGAACAGCTTAAAAGGAACTCCAGAAAGTTGGAATATGGAATAATGGTAGGATCCCCTATAATTTACCTTACAGGGAGTATGATAATGATATTCCAACTTTCTGGCTTCTACTGTAAGGCTCCGTGGATTATGGTTCAGAGCTCGAGCAAACGGTTGCAAGCGAGACATTGTGACTATAAATGGCCCGGTGCCCTACAGGTGCTTCAAGGGAGGTACCGGGTTCTGAAGTGACAGCTCGAAGGTGTTTGGGGTTTAGAATACTCCATTGTGATCCAAAATACGAGCACCCCCAAACGTTCCCATGCCTCGACCCTCAACTATGCTGTATGATAGCAGGCAGCCTTAATATCCACCATTGGGCACTGCTCGGCTATTGAGAGAAACGGCGTACTTTCGAGGTCCGGGTATATGCCCTCAATCTAACTCAAGTCTACCAGAATCCCCAAAAGCAGCTAAAAATACTGGCCCAGTACTTATTAAAGTCTATTATTCGAATACTTCGGGGGGCCCACCTACTGTATATCAGGCTCTTGGGCCCCAAGACCATACTATACCTATAGTCTCCATTGTATTTTCTTTCCTGGGTTGCAATGTGTGGTCCAGCTATAGAGCCCACGCTCCAGCCCTAAGTCTCCCAGCACCGAATTATCATATAGACTAGACCCAAGAGTAACCCAATAAAAAGGGTGCCCTTTTTGGGATAAAGGGGGTTATAAGGGAACCTAAACCCTTAAAAAGGGAATAAGGGCCTACTCTGGGTCCTAGTATAGAGTATGGTTTATATTACGAGTATCCCATAATAAAACCCAATACATACACTCACCAAAATTCAAAAGGAGCCCTATCTACACTCACCCAAAAGGGATATAAGCCCTACTTCATATACTCTCAAAATAGTAACCTACATAACTACTATCCAAAACCTAAGCACCTATTTGGGTCCTTTGGACCCTTAGGGTAGTGCCCTCGCGTCCTCGACCTTAATGGGCACTGTTAAGTGCGGCTGCCTCGGTGCAGGCACATGGAGAAACTTCAAACAAGCCGAACAATGGAATTACGCCTAGACAAGTGTTCCTTTAAAGGGCCCTCGAAGAGGGTCCCATAAGGGTCACCATATAAGGGTGAGGTATAAGGGCTTGAAGACTTTGATCAAGGCTCGAAGACAGAATCCAGTAGAGTTTGATAAGGAGCCGAAAAACTCCCATAGACATAGGATCCTCACCATAAAATAGGCTACCTCCAGAAGAGTAACTACTTACTCCATTCTGGAGTCCACGTCACAAGCTGACTACTGAAATTTCGCAAATGTTGATCGGGTTCCTAAGCAAACGGTGTTGCGAGTCTCTGCCCGCAAGGGGAGCACGAGCGTCAGAGACACCACAGCTTTCATGAGGTACATCTTGCTGGTCTTAAATATCGCGTCCTGCATAAGGCCTTCTTGACCGGTTTCGTGGCATTGTAGGTTAGGGTTCAAGGCTGCGCAGCGCCGCACTAAGCACAATTCTGGGCTGTTTACCAATTCTACAAGGCCACTACAAGGCCATGCAGCATGACAACTTTCGACAGTCTTTCCCCGAGCCATCCCGCAGCTTGACCTTGCTTCCCGAGGCCTGGCTTTGTCAAGCAGGGGTTGCACAGTCTAAGCCTAGATCCTAAACCCCAAACCCCTACTCTAGACACCCTTAAACCCTACAACAAGAGGCTCGATCGAGGACTCAGAGCTCATCCCTCTTTCCTCTCCAAAAGCACAGGGCTTTTACCTAGGGTAGAAGGGGAAAGCGTAGTCATATAGTAACGAGCATAATGAACATACAGTGGGCATAGCCACGCTAGTACTACCCGGCCTCTAGAAAGCGGTACCCTTTCTTATAACTGTCATTATGGTAAAAACCCTTTCATAAGAACAAAACAGAAACCAAAAAGAAGCACAACATTCTGGGACAATGGAGCTGTGATCAGGGGCTCAACACCCTATTTCACGTTGCTCAAGGTTTAGGGCTTATCAGGCTTACAGTTCCGGGCTTGGGGTTTAGGGTTTGTGGTTTGAGGTTTAGGGTTGGTTGAGGGGTTGTGGAGTTTCTGGCTTGCTGAGCACGGCACGGCATCGGCGGCTGGCGGCCGATAGCGTGGTAAAATATTGAAAAAACAAACTGAACCCTAAAGGGCCGCTTAGAGGTTCACTGCGTTTAAGGGCTCCAATTGTGAGCTACTGGAAGGGTTACCAGGAGGATTTCGGGTTTGACAGGATTTAGGGTTCGACCTCAAAGGATGTCGGTGATGTAGGTATCATTAGGACTAGGTTTTTTTAATGCGATTGTGATAAGAATAACGGTTAAGGTAGTACTACTCTTATTCTGTCTGCGGACACCCGTAGGTTTTCGTGCTCTGTCGATACTTCCATGATCATAATGCAGAGGAATTCCAATACCTGAAAGTCTGAGTCTTCACCCGTGTTCGTCTCCATGCGCTTCTTAAGAGCACTCCTGCTTTAACTCGTAGGAGCTTGACCGCAACGAAGGGAAAAGGCACAGCCAACGGGCCTACTCCTGTGCTCTTGTGTGAATCCTTGTGATTCTGAAGCCGACATGCGAAGTCCGGGCGGGCGTAATCAAAGAGAAGCTGCACTCAGGTCTGCTACATCCTGAACACAAACATATTATATACATACTTAGAGTCTACATTAGGGTGCCTTCTTCTCTGCAGCCTTACGTATGATGCGGTCTTACAAACCTGATAGAGCAAAAATTGACAGTAGAAGCAAACCTGGTTAGATTCAGGATATTGCAAGTTTCGTCACTCCAAATACATCAAGCAACCCAAAGCAGAACCATTCCTCAAACTCAGGCCCTCGACTAACTACACCCAGCCTACACGATCTGAAAACTAGAAACTCCCTCCCACAAAGGTACTCTAAGATGGCATAAGACAGGCCGGCGTGTTGCCCCCCTAACGCCTAAACATTTGTTCGGGGTTCTTCTCTTCTCCGTATCCCCTGAAGGGTGATTTGGAAGTGGATCCAGACCTGACCCGACTTCTCGTCTAGGCCTACCCTAAAGGTCCATGTACCCATATAGTATATACTTTGTTAGTCCCTATATAAGTACTTTGGGGCCAAGGTCTATTTGGGTATTTGGGTACATGGACCATTTGGGTATGTGAAACCCTTGACACAGGGTTCAGTAGTTCCCGGTTTTAGGTTTAGCAGTTTGGGGCTCAGGGTACCCTTTGGATAATATGGGGTGGGGGCCTTAATTACTAAATTGGCAAAGCGGTTTGGTGTTTGTTGTAGCGTGGTCCTTCTGGGCCTAGAAAGGTAGCGATATTAAGCCCTGTGCCCCAAGCATCTAAAGTCCTGAAACCCAGAGTCCCGAAATCTGAGGAACCCTGATCAGTTGAAAGCACTGGATTCTTGAGTTCTTTGTACACGACTCTACAGCTAATCTACATGTCCGGTTGAGGACTGAGCGGGAAGCTGTCTAAGGTTTAGAATTTAGGCTTGAAGGGGCTTTTTCGCTGGAGATGCCAAGGTTTGCTCTTGAGCGATCGTGGCTTCGAGAGCGATCGTGGCTTCGAGTCTCGGGCCGTTTTGATTCCGGGGCTCCAATACCTATCGTCGGTTGACCAGCTTTAAGGTCAGGATCCTATAATATAAGCGGTGGGTAACCAAAAAGGGAAATACAGTGGAGAGTATAGGTACAACCTTCGGCCAAAAAAAACTGAATCCAAAGACCTAAACCCTAAACCCTAAGACCTAAACATGCAAATCCACACATCCAGAGAACCCAGAACTCTCTTCTTCAATACTCGGGGTTTAGGGTTTAGGGCTTAGGGAGAAGTTCAACCTTTCCAAAGTAGACCAAACAGATGGCCAATTAGATTAGAGTTCCTCCTTTGGCTATCCTTGAAATATGCCGTTCGAGCTCGCGTGGCCTATGTACAGCTCGACGCCGCCGCCTGAGCTTGCAACTCTTTGAACCCTTAACCCTCAAACCAGGAAACCCGAGGCCCTAAAACCTTAAACCCGAAACCCTAAACACTTAAACCCGAAACCCTCAACCCTTAAACCCTTAAGCACAAAACGCTTAGACCCCAAACCCTTAAACCCTCAATCCTAAGACGTCTTAAGCAGGGCTCCGCGCTGTTACTGATGCGCATCGCCATCGGGGGTTTAGGGGTTCAGGGTTGAGGGGCTATGAGTGTCTTGGCATTCTGGGCATTTCTAAACCCTTAGGGTTTCGGGTGTAGGGGTTTAGGGTTTCGGGTCACGGCTGATAGAATCTGCAGTTGCTCGGCAGTCCTCGAGCGGTGGAGTCCTCCACCCTTGGTGCATGGCTTCTTTGAAGGTGCTTTTCGCTCAGTATGGTGTGGCATTCGCATGTGCTGTGAAAGTATCGCTCTGACTTGCTTGGTGGCCCTTGACCCTGATTCCCGCAGTGCTGCCACTGCCGCTTGGCTTAGTCCAGGTAATTAAATGAAACTAACTCCGTGGTCCACCAAGCTCTGGTGCCACAGCTGCCCGCATTGGGAGCAGGCAATGAGAGCGGCGGAGGAAGGCGCGACTTCTGCCCAGAGAGCCCAATACCCCTTAAATAAGGAATATACCTATACCTTAAACTATAAGGGGGTTCATATTATGATTTAAGCTATAATCATTCCATAATTAAGGGGTATTGGGCTCTCTGGGTGCCCAGAGCCTCCACAACCCCTTAATTAAGGAATATACCTTAAATCATAATAGGATCCCGAATATAGTTTAAGGTATATTCCTTAATTAAGGGGTTTTGGAGGCTCTGGGTGGGGCAGTTGGTGCATTGCACAGAGTCGACTCAAAGAGGCCGCCCTTCGCCCCTCGTCATGCGAGGCGGCGCCCGCGCAGTGGAACCTGGAGTTCCACTCGATCTTCACATACTAGGATACCCAGTAACCTAAGAATAAAAAGGCCTCTCTTTTTGGTATTGGGTAACTTTATAAGGAACCTAGGACTACAAGAAGGGAATAAGGGTACTACTGGGCATCCTAGCATATGGCAGTTTCCGAAAATTTGGGGGTACCTTATTTGGGGGTCCTTATAATAAGGATCCTACAATTTAGGGTACTATATTATAGGGCCATTCCCAAGTACTTCCCAGCTCGAGGAACATGCCGATCAACGGGGTGCTCATCACAACGGCAGTGAACAGCACGAGATGGTACTCCGCGCGCAGGACTACTGGTGGCTAGCAATTACATTAAGAATCAAAACATGGTGCGAGGTCTATGGTAGCATGGTTGTAATGCAAAACCCACGGAATTGTGTTGGTCCTAAACCCTACACCCAAAGCCCTGAAAACCCTAAAGCCCGTAATAATTCAGGCTTCCACATTATATGCGGAGAGGGCTTCAAAGTCTGGAGGATGGTCAACCTCAAAAGTGCTCATGGTATGGCTAAGGTGGGGCTTATGGTTTAGGGTTTCCTTTAAGGGGTCCTTGAAGGGGTCGATAAAGGATCCATAGTAGGGTTTGCTTACTTTAAGGGTTTAGGTTGAAAGCCTTTTCCTTGAAGATCCGAGTCCTCTAATAAAGGATACTGAAAGGGTAGCCTTACTTACAGGAACCCTTAAACCCTAAAAGCCCTCAACACCCTGAGGCCTTAATTCCTCAAAGCAGCCCTTTAAAGGAACGCTAGACCCCTTATATATATCTTCTAGGATTCTAGAACCTCTTTAGAGGTTAGAGGAGCTCTTGAAAGGAAGCCCAAAAGAAACCGCAAAAGGAACCCTAAAGGAACCCCAAAAGACTAGGTAACTATTCAACCCCCTATATTCCCTGATGACACCCCTTTGAGTAATCCTTATAGACCCCTTATAAAGGAACCTTTTACCCTAAAGCCCTAAACCCTAAACCCCTAAATCCTACATCCTAAACCCCTAAACCCTTAACCCCTAACCCCTAAACCCCTAAACCCCTAAGCCCTAAACCCCTGAGGTTCCTGCCTGCGAACTGTGCTAACCCTTGAAGCCCTCCGTCCCCAGGGTTTAGAGGAGCCCTTTAAAGGAAGCCCAAAAGGAACCCGAAAAGAAAACCCTAAAGCAACCCTTAAAGGAACCTTAAAAGAAACTTAAGGGAGCCCTTTACAAGACGCCCTTAGTCCCCAAATCCTTATAGACCCCTTATAACAAGAACCTTAGACCCTAAAGCCCTAAACCCTAAAAAAGCCTTACGGGAGTCCTTTGTAGGAAGCCCTTCGTCCCCCCTAAACCCTATAGATCCCATTAAGGAACCCTATATAGATCCCTTTAAGGAAGCCCCTCGTCCCCAGGGGAGCCGGCTGCTGGCATCGAAAACCGCCACGCTCAGCTCGGCCAGGAGAGCCTTGGATATCAGGTCTTTTGGGGTTCCTTCAAAGGGTAGAACGAAGGGTACCTTTAAGGGATCTATAGGGCCTACGGGTTTAGGGTTTAGGGTTTGGGGACCTAAGAGTAGCCTAGGAATCCTGGATATCCCAGAGCCTCCAAAAAGCCCTTAATTAAGGAATACCTAGGGCTCTGGGGTTCCTTCAAAGGGATCTTTAAGGGATCTATAGGGTTTAGGGTTTAGGGGACTCCAATATCCCTTAATTAAGGAATATACCTTAAATCATAATAGGATCCCTCATAAAATTTAACGCTTTGGGGTTTAGGGGCTTAGGGGTTTAGGGCTTTCGGGGGTTCGGGGTTTAGGGGTTTCGGTGGTTAGGGGTTTAGGGGTTGAGTGGTCCTTCAAGGGTCTGTTTTAAGGGTTCTTTTAAGGGGTCCTTTGAGGGTTCTATAGGTTTGGGGGTTTAGGGTAAGTTTACGGGCTTAAAGGTTCAAGGGTTTAGGGGTTTAGGGTTTAAGGTTTTACGGTTGAAGGGTTTCCGGCTTAAGGGTTTAAGCGTTCAAGGGTGTCAAGGTTCAGGGGGGTTAAAGGTTCAAGGGATCAGGGTTCAGGGTTTAGGGCCATTCGTGCCGAAGGGATCCTACAGGTTCCTTTAACTATACTGAACTTAGAACCCTAGCAAAAAATGCTATTTTTAGCTGTTTCTTAGGGATTAGAGTAACAAAAAATTAAAAAATATTTCAAAAATAACCAAAATTAAGAATTATTTCTAAGTACCGCTAAGTTAAGGGCTCCTGTAAGCACACCCTGAACAGGCGCCAACAGGTCTATGTGTGTGTGCAAGAGACTCCAATATCCCTTAATTAAGGAATATTCCTTAAATCATATTAGGGATCCTATTATCATTTAAAATATATTCCTTAATTAAGGGTTTTTTTGGAGGCTCTGGGTTAGGTGGGGTTGTAACATTGTATTTAAGTGTGAGTATAGTTACCTTATTTATAACCCTAGTTACTAAGTCCCTTGATCCTTTGAGTGTGTGTGTGTGTGTAGACGTTGGGGAGGGCTAAGGGTTTTCTAGGGGTTTGGGGCTTCGGGGTTAGGGTCTGTAGGGGTTTAAGGGTTAGAGGTTTTGGCACGGTTTTGGGGTTTGGGGTGTACGGTATACCAGGACCCCCCAAGCCCTTTACTAGAGACCTTGTAGTCCCGAATAGTGGTTATTTAGGGCAGGGTATATTAGAGGGCAGTTGGGGGGTCTGGGTAAGGTTTAAGGTGCAGGGATTAGGGATTGGGGCCAAGGGTTGCCATTGGGGTACTGCCCCAACTGTCTATATTCAGGGTACTGTTGAAGGCCTTGTGTATCACTATTACAATATATGTATGTATATGTATGTATGTATGTATATATATATATATATATACATATATATATATATATATATATATATCACTTCTTGCTGAGTTTGAGCAGTACCCAACCTTCCACAGGAGAAAGCCTACAACAAACCTAAACCCTGAATCCTGAAGCACTAAATGCCCTCAAACCCTTAAGCGGAACGCTTAAAGGAACCCTCAAAGGGATCTTCTTAACGAAACCCTTAAGGGGATGTTTAAAGGAACCCTTACATGAACTAGACCCCAGAGTAACGTAGGGAAAAAGGGTGCTAGGAATAAAAAGGGTGCCCTTTTGGTTTAAAGGGCTTATAAGGGAACCTGAACACTAAAAGAAGGGAATAAGGGCCTTCTCTGGCTCCCAGGAAACCCTTAGCGCAACCCTGAGCATGGCATCAGCAGCGAAAGCAGCTAGGAACCGAGGGTCCGGCATGGGAGCCGAGGACGTAAAAGAGGAAGTCGCTGAAAGCCTGTACATCCTGGCCGCACATAGGTTGTTTAGGGTTTTCAGATTAGGGGTTTTGGGTTTAAGGGTTTAGGGTTTAGGGGCTTAGGGTTTTGGGTTGTAGGGTGTAGAGTCTTAGGGCTTGCGGAGTAGGGGCACATGCTGGCAGCACTTCTGGCCGGGTCATGCTTCAAAACCGGAGATGTAATGATAGTAACGAAAACGGACAAGAACAGTGATGGTAATTAGTAAGAGTAGTCAGCATATTCATAGCAAGAAGAATGGCACTGTTGCCAAAAGTAATAAGGACAATAATCACAATACAAATAGTAACACCAAAGGCAACACTGCTGTTACTAATACGCACACCAATACCAATACTAGTACTAGAAATAATGACATACCAATGATAACAAATACAACATTCTGACTACTCGAAACAATACTTCCTCTAGCAATAGCGACCACAGTAATATCAAACCTAACAAGAGCTATACTAACAAGTATTTTGATAGTTATAACATCTATAAAAAGTTGAAATAACGATAGTTAGAACAATGATAAAACATTACGAAAAAGCAGTGAGAGTAAGAACAGCACTAGCTATAATAAGAGCAGTTTAGTTTTATAATAAGGGCAGGTACAATCATTATGATAATGGTAACATCAATATTAATGACACTAACAAGTTCAACACTACAAACAACAGTATCATCACTAACATGACCTAACATGCACAAAACAGCAGAAGTAACAACCATAATAGCACTAGTAATATACCTATACATATACGCGTGGGGATATATATATATATATATGTATGTATATATATATATATATGTGTGTGTGTGTTCACAAGTCATGGGCTTGTGGGACCCATTCTCCTGCACTTATACTTGTAATTGAGGAGCTCTGAGGCACGATGCTGATACGTATCTCGATGGCTATATTGAGGTTGCGTAGTGTTTAAGTTAAACGTTCAGGGACGTTTGGCTGGGGGCAAGGCTTACAAGAAAGCCTGACACCATGCAAATTGAATCCTACATGACAGCATAAACCTGCATACGACTCCATGATAAGATCAAACTTTCCTGTGATACCCCTAGGGAACCGAAATACTTCCCATAATCCTCTAACCACTCTTACAAAATCGCGTAAAACCCGAAATACTTCCTAACTGTGAACCAACAACCTCTCTTACAAAGCCCATGTAAAACCCGAAATGTGAGCTTGGACCACCTTATTTAATGAGTAAGTGTTCCAATATATCTATATATATATATCTATATATATATATATATATATATCTATATATATATATATATATCTATATATATCTATATATATATATATATATATATATATATATATATATATAGACCTCGGAGTACTTGACAGCACTATTCCTCAGAGTTCCGCAACACAGTCGATGATATGAATCCTGCACTACCTTAGTTGAGCCCAGACTGTAGGAATTATGGTACAATCCTGATATATGAACTAGTTATAGGTAGTGCAGGATTTCAATCATGAGCCGTACGTGCTTGGACTTTCCCGCGCCCTAAACCCTAAACCCTAAACTTCCCGCGCCTCTCCAACACGGCTACCGCCCCACTCGGGGTGTGCAGCGAGGACGGCGGCCTGCGACGCGCTGTGCCTACGTCAACCCTCTCTAGGGCTTGGGGTTTAGGGCTTAGGGCTCAGGGTTTAGGGTTTAGGGTTTACGGTTTAGGGGTTTAGGGTTTAGGGGTTTGGGGTTTAGGGGTTTAGGGGCTTACGGGTTTAGGGTGCTAAGGACCCAAGCATGAGAGGTTGTTATAGGAGTTCCTCTGAACGTTCTTCAAGGGAACTTATAGAGGCTTTATTGGGTTAGATGGGGCTCTGGTGGGTTCTTTTTGACCCCATAATCAGGTACTAGGTTCCTGAGTAGCCCCATAATAAAAGGGTGCCTTTTTTCGTCCTACTCGGCTTTAATACGGGAACGCAAAAATACACAGGGCAACAGGGCACTTCTCAGGAGCCTAGGTACTATATTTGGGACAGTGTATGACTACTAGCTACTTGGATGCTTAGAGCTTGTGGGTTGCAAGGCTCCGAGCGTTTCAGGATTTTTGGCTCCTAAGGCAGAAACCCTCAGAAATTCATGCATAACTGCACGACGTAGGGACTCGGATTGGTCGGCTTTGAAGACGGCATTCAAGACGGAGGGACGCCAAACACGCCAGCCTCGAACACAGCAATGAAACAACATGTCCCATAGTACTCCTAGAATGCCGTTAAAAGGACCTTTAGTGGAACCCTAATGCCCCTAAACCCTAAGCACCTCAGGACTCAAAACCAAACGGAGCCCAGAACCCTGAGCTGTCTTATTTCCTGAAAATGTCCGTGGCGCCTCAATGTTCCGCTTGAACATCAGGGCCGTTTCTTTCAAAACATCGGAATCACAGCCAAGGTAGGACCTCGCGCGCACTTGGCACGGGGGACACGGCCCAAGGGCTTGAGATACTCCTTTACTGGTTTAAGGGTTTAGGGGTTTAGGGTTTAAAGGTTTAGGGTTTAAGGGTTTGAGGGTTTTAGGGGCTGGAGGGTTTGAGGTCTGCGGTTTAGGGTTTAATAGCTTAGGGCAGAGGGTTAAAGGTTGCGGCGTTTAGGGTTTAAGGTCTTAGGGGCTTAGTGTTCTGGGTTCACAATACCTGGAATTATGGGATACTTTAGATCTTTGGCCATGCGAAATGGGAGCCTCTGGGTAGAACCATCGGATTTCAGCATTGCCGATAGTACTCATACACTACTTTCTTTTAAGGTACCTACTTGTCTATACGGGAGATCCTAATCAGAAAACTAGGTACCCTAAGAAAGGGGTAGGGTATGGCTCTCTAGGGGAAAGACACCCAGGCCATTGATCACTAGTGGTAAGTAGTAGGTGGACAGCAGCAGTCAGATCAATAGCAAGATCTAGATGCCAAGCCAGAGTTATGCCGCAGATCGACTTTTCTTGATGTATCGCCAGTCACCTACTGATCGCGCAACTTTTCCTCTTCATTGTCCTGGCCCGTAACCCTGTAAGGCCACACAGAACCCATATAACAACCTTACACTAATAACTATGTTCCTCAAGATCTACCTAGAAGTACTACTTTACTTCAAAAAGGGATATGACCCTAAACAACTTGGTACATGTACCTTTTCAAAGGTACTTCGACTACTCCAGGTACGCTTGGACGACAAATTCTGCTGCCCGCATGGTGCCTGGCCAGGGCCAGGTAGAAGCACTGATTGTAAATGTCCTGCTGACGACCAAACTAACGGTCTAGGCTTTATCGTTCAGGGGCTTAGGGTTTGTTTTAGTTCAGTGATCTTAATTTAGGGCTTCATGGCTTTTGGAATTTCTGAGGTTCTGGGCTAGCATCTAGCTCTGGGCTCCTCCTCACTTCTACAAAACTCTGCTGCACTTCAGACGACGTTCCGACATGAAGGCCTGAACTCCAAATCCAGAACCCTGTCTATAAGCACCATAGGCCCTAGGCCCTCTATTCCCGGCACCCCAAAATCATGCAGAATCATAGTCTGTCATAGGTACTGGGCCATGATTAGACATAATTATCTTTTGGGGGGTCTAGGTAAGCTCTAAACGTCTAAACACAAAATGCGAAAAAGAACCGAAGGATGCCGAGCCGAAGACCAAATCCCCCTCCAGCAAGGTCCTAAGCGTTCCAGAAACCATGAAGCCTGAACCCTAAACCCAAAGTCTAGAACCAAAATCCAAGGGGAAAGCGAGGGACCCTTAATAAAGACCCCTAGGTATATACCCTCAATATAGCTATTATAGACACATTATATAGCCGATTATAGGGTAGGGGTCCCCACTAAGGGTCCCTCCTTTTCCCCTTTGACAGAACAGGCTCAAGGGTTTAGGGTTTACAGGGCTTTAGGGGTCCCAGGATTGAAAGAACTACCTTGGGTACTGCCACGTACCCTGTAGCAGACTACGTATAGAATCCAGTTCCTGTGAAAAACAACGGCGACAGTAGGAACGGACTCTTACTGACTTGAGCACTTGTTGTCCGACAGCAGGGCATTCCCTTCCAGGCCCCTCCTCCTTTACGTAGTCTAGTCAGGGTCAAAATGACGGCTGAATATACAAACTTGTTACACATATAGTATCTAAGCAAACTTATCTCACTGTTACAGATTGGGTCCAAGGGTAAAAGGAGGGACCCTGAATAAGGACCCCTAGGTGTAAAACCTTAATATAGCTAGTATATACCCATTATATAGCCCATTATAGGGTAAGGGTCCCCATTAAGGGTCCCTCCTTTTCCCTTTTGACTGGGGGCAGTACCACCCTAAACTCCTAAGTCAAGGCCTCACTCTAAGGGCCCTGAATTAAGAAATCCACACCGCAAACACTAAAACCTTAAAGCCGAAAATCCGAAATTCTTAATTCCCAACCCGAAACCCGAAGTCCTAAGACTGTGCACTAAGCCTTAAAAATCAAAAAAACGACGACGTCCTAAACCAGCAACCCTGAGTCTGACCATTCAAGCTTGGCTGACTTCTGAACCCCTCCTAAAAGTAAAACTTTTTAGATACTATCATAGTTCATATAGAAACCCGAACCCCTCCTAAAAGTAAAACTTTTAGCCTCCGGTGATCCTAAATATTAATATAGTTCATATAGAAACCCCAAAAGTTAAAGTCCTAAGAGCCAACCAGAAGGACGCCAAGAAAGCTCGTGAACACGGACCCGGAGCAAAGAATGTCTGACTCCGTCCTCTCCGCGCTCATTGCGGTTGATCGCGCCGAGATCGCAAACCTCGAGGCCCAACGCGCTCATGGCCTCATGCGGGGGTTGACGGTTCAGGGTTTAGGGCCTGGGGTTGTCGGGGTTAAGGTTTTGGGTTCCTTACATCGTAAATTCGCGGATATCCGGATTTACGGTTTTTGGGTTGGCGGCCTGGCATTTCAGGAATGAAGGTCCTGGGTCTTAAGGCTTGAAGGCTGTCGGGGAGCACCCGGGGTCGATGGGCTTGGGAGTTTCAGGGGCTTGGGGCTTCTGGTGCGGCTCCAAGATTTCTGGGTGGGGTTTGGGTTTGGGGATTTAGGGATTTCAGGTGTTGGGGGTTTAAGGGTTCAGGTGGGATGGTAATTAAGGGGCCTTCATAATTAGAGTAAAGTTCTGGGGTGTATTATACTTTATAAAATTTATTAACGAAACTCCAAACTGGTATAGGTCGTTATTAAGGCCCCTTTGCTGGGAGTTTCCGAAAATAGGGGATCCCAAAATAAGGTACCCCTATTTTTCGGAAACTCCCATATCAGTGTTTAGGGCTTTGAGGTTGGCTACGAAATCGAACACCGAAGTGAACATCAAGAGGAGATGCAATTGAGAGAGTCGGTTGATGATATAAATCCTGCATTACCTTAAGGCCCCTAAACTATGGGAATTATGGTCTATTCCTTATTGTGGGTCATGCAGGATTTATATCATCAACCAGCAATAGTGATATAGCAGAAAAGTAACGGGATCTTCATACCATGTCACCACAAGTGTCCCCAATGATGACTATCAACAGATACACCCCAAGCCCCCACCCTAAACCCCAAAACTAGTCAAGTCTATGTAAGGCCAAACACTAAACCCCAACCCCTGTACCCCGGGGCTTTGTTCACGAGCACGGTCCTTCAAAAACACTTGCGTACTTAGAATACGCTTTAGGGCTAGGGTCCGGGGTTTGGGGTTTAATTGGGATATTCTACTACCGTTACAATCAGGAACGGTAACAGTGTTACCGAGTACGTAGACTTCTATATTGAGCTCTGTCTCAAGACTCCCTGCATTTCTATGCGTGGGTTCTTTGTCGTTTTGTTCTCCAAAACCCTGCACAAGGCCGAATGCGGACCCTTCGCCCGAAATCCCTCAAACTCCAACCCCAAACGCCTAACACCCTAAAGCCCTAAACCGCGAAATCCTACAACACCGTGTACAAGACTCAAGAAATGCAACGTTGGAGAACCCAGAGCCAGGAATATTGAAAATATTGAAAAAACAAACAAGTGGACTACTTTTTCTGGGGGTTCATGATGCCATAGCTATAATATAAGTAACTCTAAGGAATGATGTAAGCAACCATGAAGCATATTATACTGTATTATACTGTAGCCATACTAAGGGACTCTACTTCATGCGGAATAATGTTGGAAATGCTCCCCCCCTATTCTTAATCAGGTTCCTACATTATTATAGTACCCGTATAGATCCCTTATGGATCCTTTTTAGTCACCATTATAGACCCATTTAAAGGAATCCTGCTGCCCCAAACGGTGCCTCCACTTGCCTCACCAAGCAAAGCTCCAGGTCCACACCGTCCTCTTGTCTGCTTCCGGATGTTTTGGGGAGTTTAGTGTTGTCGGTATAGGGCTTATAGGGGTTTAGGGTATACCGGCATTCAAAGGGAAAGGGGAAAAGGATTGACCATTGATGGGGACCCCTACCCTATAATGGGCTATATAGTGGGTACATAATGGCGATATTAAGGGTATATACCTAGGGGTCCTCATTAAGGGTCCCTCCTTTTACCCTTGGAGGTATAGGGCTAACAGGGGTTTACGGTTACAGCAGTTGTGCGGTATGTTGTACTCGGGTTAGTATGTTAAGAATTACTATTATGACTTGGGAAAGTATCCCCCGTAATGTCTTTGACGTGGTATTGGGCCCGGCCCTCCACAAGTCCCTTGAAACCTTCCTCCTTGGGAGCACCAGGCTTCGGGGGCACTGAGTCCCTTGCCGGGACGCAGCCGCAGAAGACTGGGGCCGACAGTGGCACCTGGGCCTCTTGCTGCAATTGCAGCAACAGCTGCATCAGCGAAGGTGCGCCATCGCCCGACGGTGCCGTCAAGCAGGCGCCGTAGCTGATTGCGGCCGTGAATTTCCGGCCCAAAGTGGTTTCGGCTTCGACGATACCACTGCGTGAACCGGGCGGCAAAAGGCCAAACCCGGTGGAGTCTGCCAGGCAAACACAGCGCATGTTGGCAGCCATGTCGGTTGCACAAGGCTTCAGGGGGTTAGGGATTCCGCGGTTTCAACCTGTAGGTCTCAGTTTGGGCTAACGGCGGCTCCGGTCAACAAACTTCTCGGCATTCTCAGATGTTGGCTTCATGGTGTCGCGAAACTACTATCAGGCGGGCGAAGGCAAGATTTCCAAGTGCAGTCAGTCTGTGTGGGACCCCGCGTCGATCACACACTGCGATGGCTGAAAAAACTACGAAACCCGGCCCGGTTACTGTTGCTTTGAGGTACGGTTACTCGCGAAATCAGCCCCGTGAACACCATATCATACTATAATTAAAAGGTTTTAATAGATCAGGTACACTATAATACTCTGTTCATAAGATGTTCTACTATATTGTAACAAGCGTTTGCCAACACCATCCAACACCCTAAGACCATCGAAAACTTCGCCCCAACAAAACCCCAACAAAACCCCGACCAACCTTGCGAAGCCTGAAGACCTAACAAAACCTCGGTGACGCCCCAAACACTCCCTCTCCATACCCTAAGCCCTAAACCCTGAAGCCCAAACCCGAAACCCTAACCGCAAAACCCAGAAGCCTCAATCCGACTTGAACTATCTGAGGACAAAGTAGTGCCATAAGATCTGGGGTTACTGTAACTATAACCCTCTAGCCTACTTACTGATCAGATCCCCTGACCCTTGAAGGAAGCCTTAACGTGCCAAATCTCAAAGGGGACAAGGAGGGACCCTTAATGGGGACCCCTACCCTATAATGGGCTATATAATGGGTATAGAATAGCTATATTAAGGGTATATACCTAGGGGTCCTTATTCAGGGTCCCTCCTTTTCCCCTTGGAAAAACCATGGAGAGACTCGGAGAGACCCTAAGTTCTAAAACCCTGAATTCTAAAACCCGCCGCGAGATGATAGGGTTGATGGACAAATCCTGCATGACCTTAAGGACCCTACACTATGGGAACTATGGTATATTCCTTATTCTGGGTAATGCAGGATTTTGTCCATCAGCAGTAGGGTTTAGGGTTTAGGGGGAGAGCTCCTTCTCGAACAGCTCCCGCACGAGAGCCTCAGGCACTGCCGCAGGACACGAAACTGCTCTCGAAAATCAGAACACTTTCGAAAGAGTGCTTCAGGGCTGCCACAAACACACAGCCCAGTTACTTCAGCACATATAACTGAATTTAGAGAGGTATGTGGGTGGTTGTCCAAATTAGGGTCCGTTTTTGGGGTACCCTAAATAATAGGCACCGTGTTATACTAAGGACCCAAAAAGGGACGCTAATTTTGAGAGCCACCCATGGGGCAGTCCTTCGCTCAATAGTCACGACGATGTATACGGGCCTGAGTCATTAGAATAAAGTTTAGGGGTAGTTTGTGGTATATCTTGTAGTCAGGACCCCGCAATACCGATGTTAGTCATCACCCAGGCTTCTGGATTCATGAATCCAGAAACCCACCCTCAACAAAATCTATAAAAACTTATGTATAAACTAAGTTCCTGAATGGCCCCATTACAAGAAGCGTACCTTTGTTCCTACTATTCGGTGTTAATAAAGAAACCCCAAAATGAAACAAGCGAAAGGGTACTATTCAGGAGCCTAGTAGACCCTAACCCCCCCCCCTCCAGATCCCCATAGATCCCTTATAGAACCCTCTAAGGAGCCCTTTAAGGATCCCTTTTAGGGTACTACTCCGGAGCCAAGTGAAAGGGAAACTTGCAATCTGGAGCATCTTCATCGTGGGACCACCCAGCTCTATGCATCCCTAGCGGCCGTGACGATGTAAACGGTTTAGGATTTAGGGTTTAGGGTTCAGAGCTTAGGGAAAAAACCTTCCTGAAGCTAAAACCCTACAAACTCCAAGCCTGAACAAGAATCCTGCACCCTGCAACAGAAGCCCTGAACCGTAAAGTCTGCAGTACAGGCCATACGATTTCGAAGTCATGCAGACCAGTTGCGACGGATCTTCCATTATTGCCGTTAGGGGGTAGCAGTGCTCCAACTTGCTGAAACATGTAACTCGCGAGGCTTCCAGAACAGCTGGGCCCCAAAACCTTAAACACCCAAACCGGCAAACACTTTTCCTCAATCTTCAGCCCAAAGACGCCAAAGCCCCCCATTATTTCGGAATGCACCGTAAATCCTATTGAGGGCTCCTTTATTGTGTAAGGTATCTTTCTTAACTTCAGGCAGTTGAAGTCTGTGGGAAACCCGCCAGCGACGGAAACCCAAACTTACAAGCTCAGCGCCATGACCAAAGCCTATGATCCAAAAGAGCGTAAAGTGTAATCAGAATCAATGACTTTTTCTACTAGGGTGCGGAATCCTTACAGAACCGCAGCATTGGGCTGTCCCACATGATGCTCTCGCAGCTCGAAATCGGATTGCTGAGGGCGCTCCTGGCAGATCCGTTGTTCAGGGGCAAGAAAGCATCATGTCCCAGACTCCCGAAAGGATCCAAAAAGTAGATCCCTTAATGGGGGTTCCTATTAAAAAAATCCTTAGTAGTACAGGGCCCCAAATTAGGGGATTTACTTTCTAGATCCTGTTTGGGTTTAGGGCCCCCAAGTGCCGTTTAATAGGGCCTTGTTGTTTGTTGGGGGTCTACGTAGGCACATAGCTTGTCTATGCTTTCACGCCAGGGTTCAGGCTGAAGTAGGTCGTATTCTTTCGGGCTCAAGGCAGAAACTGGGACCCATCCCCACCCAACCTCTTCCGCGCACTCCTCCGCATCCCCGCAATCTGAAGCTAAGAAACTCCCACGATACAACTGTCCAGCCCTTACCATAGGCCTTATTACAGGGAACTCCAGAAAGTTGGAATATGGTTTCAGGGTAGGATACCTTATAATTTACCATAAAGGGTTTGGGATAATTATATTCCAACTTTCTGGCTTCTAGTGTAAGTCCTTATCATGGATATGAAGGCCCGGCCTGAGAGTCCTTATGATTTTCCTGGGCCCTAAACTGTGGTACTGTTGATGGACAAAATCTTGCATGACCTTAAGGACCCTACACTATGGGAACTATGGTATATTCCTTATTCTGGGTAATGCAGGATTTTGTCCATCAACAGTATCTTTAGTTCGGTTGCCTTATCAATTTGCCTCTTCTGGGACCCTAACCAGCAACATAAGCTGTCCAAACAATGTACTGCACTGTGATGCCTGTAGGTAATATACAGACCATAGAACCCCCCAACTAAACCTCTTATATACCCGAAATACCCACTACTAAGGACCATACAAGTGATCCGAAGACATACAAGCTCTTGAGGCTTACAGCTTTAGCTGTTCTGATTCAATGTCTCAGAAGCATGGTTACCAAATCCACAGGCACCGTGCAACGATGAACAGGCGTGCTAAGCGCCAAGGGTTTACCAGGACCCCCAAGTGCCCCTTAACATAGACTTGATGGTCCGGTCCTTCAGATGGGAGTTTCCGGAAACAGGGGACCCTAATATAGCACCCTAAGTAGTAGGATCCTTATCATAAGGACCCCGAAATGAGGTTCCCCTAATTTTCGGAAACTCCCATACCTAGACCCTCAAAAGTAGGTAAAATCCTGGCCCAAACCTATAAAAGGCTATTATTCTACATACTTGTCTTTAGGGTAAATTCGAGGGTGGTAGGGGCTCGAGTCAAGAGTCGAGGGAAGGTGTGTTAGTTCAGTATATAGCTAGGATGCCCAGTCACCTAGGGAAAAAAAAGGGCTCCCTTTTGGTATTGGGTCCCTTTAATAAGGAACCTAGGACTACAAAAAGGGAATAAGGGTACTACTGGGCATCCTAGATAGGGCTTAGTGTCCTCTTCGTCCCGAGCATACTGTCTTAGAGGATCATGGGACTTAGACTTAGTAATTCGGATTGAAAGTAAGGTAGCTATACTTAAAACTGCTCAGAACCCCATACAACTTTACTAACTAAGTCCCATGATCCTCCAAGTAGGGTGGGTGTATTACTTGGCATACCCTAAACCCTAAACACTAACCCTAAACATGGCTGTCACAGGGGATGTTTTTGCCAAGCTCTGAAGCACAATGCTTGAAGCTTGCAACGTTGCACTAGTGGAAGGAACCCCAAGCCCCAAGCTGACTGAAATGTTCTAGACCTAAGAGTAACCTAGGAATAAAAAGGGTGCCCTTTTTGGTTTAAAGGGGCCTATAAGGGAACCTGAACCCCAAAAAAAAGGGGAATAGGGGCCTACTCTAGGTGCTAGTGTTTCAAACACTAAACCCTCATTCCTTAGAGAAACCTCTGGAGGAATGCTTCGAGGCACGAGACTAGCCTGATCGCAGAGTTCGGGCACCGAGCCAGTTGATGCCTCTGCAGTGATGCACAAGTTGGGGTCACTAAAGGGCTGTTCCAAGCCAACCGAGGGATAAGCAATTGGGGGTTGGGGCTGGGGGTGTTAGGGTTTAGGGTTGGATTTACAGGGTCGAAGGTTTGTGATGGTTTGGGGGTTGGTCTACGGTCCTTCGGTTGAAAGGAGGGACCCTTCAGAATAAGTTTCCTCAGGAGCACATCCAAGGCATAAAAGCTTTCGGATTCCAAGTCTCTAACCCCCAAAGCCCTACGCCCGCTTGACTTGTAGATTCACCAGCCTTCAATAACGGTCCCTTATCAAAGGGTCTACCAATATAAAACTTTGAAGAGAGAGCCCTTCTGAATAGAAAGCTCTCGCAACACCCTCCATTCCGGCGAAACCTGAAGATTCGCATCGCTAGACAGCGCGAGATACCTTGAGCATCAGCGGGGTCTGATGTTGAAGGCTTTTGGCATCGATGGTGTTGGGGCCCAGGGCCGGTCTTTCGGGACTGGGGTTTAGGGATCTGGGATGTACGGGGGTTTAATTAGGATCCTCGGTGTAGGAACTCGTGGTTGGCTAAATTTGGGCTACCTTACGTCTCCGAATATTTGCTGCCCATCGATTAGGGTGTAGGGTTTGGGGGTTCAAGTGTTTAAGGTTTACGTTTTACAACATCGAAAAACACTCTGAAACCTGAACC